GGGGGGAGTGGAGGGAACGAAAAAACACACAGTACAAAAACAAGGAAAGAGGAAATCACAGAAAATATGTATCTGTGTATATATAATAACACAATGTACAACAAGATGACTTTCGACTTACAGTCTAGAGTTACTGTGTTCACTTGGTCTTGTCCACCTGCAGAAAGTTCCAAAGCCAATAAGTCAGTCAATTTTTTCACATTGTACTTTGAATACACAGCGTTCCTAACCCGCGGCACAGACATGTTTTTCTTTTCAGCTAGTTGGTAAATGAAATGCTCCAGCATGAAGGCTGGGGGCTCGTAGAACCTTTGGTCATCGGCATCATAACTGAGGATGAAGTCGGGATTCCTTTTGGGAGCCCTGGGGGGCAAAGGATCCGGCCCACGAGGCTTAAACGGTTTCACAAGACTTTTCCCGTCGACATAAGTGCCCAAGCTGGTTCTATCCCGGAAGAGAGGATCCAGAACGTACTTCATGTCATCGCGACTGATGAATGTTCCTCCACTACCCGGAGATGTGAAAGTGTGGAGGACGTTGACCCTGACAGGTAGATGGCTATTTCTGGACATTGTCTGGCCTCCGTGGTCAACAGGGTCAGACTCTGATGGGGGCGGTGGCGATGCCAGACTAGGATCCACGCTGTCGCAGTCGGTGGGAATGTCTGATTCCGGAACAACACCCTGAAGGGCGTCAAGGTCAAAGCTGTCCTGGAACATTTTGATTGCCGAATCATGTCTCCTGTATTTGGTATCAGATTCCTCATCTTCATTGTCAAAGTTTATCGGAGGTAAGATCGTAGGAGCACGAGGTTTCCTTAGCAGCTTTCCAGTTGGAACTGCTTTTTTCCTGCTTGACAGTCCAGGAATCACGATCACCTGCAAAGAAAAATCACAGACACCCTGTTAGGTCGAAATGCAAATTAAACAATAGGCCTATATATTAGAGATTACTTACCTTCTAGTTCTAGATCCTAAGTAAGGTATCATAAATATTTAGTAAACTTTGTCAATAGTACCTCTTTAATCTGAGTCTTCTAATAAACCAAAAATTAGCAAAATGTGCCAGGGAGCAATGTATACACTCTGCAGCCCTGATTTTATAGCATTTCACATTTTAAATTACAGAAAGCACAAAATTGTTATGGAAACAGGTAGAAAAAAACAAACCAAACCAACAAAATAGAAAACTGCAAGAGTCTCTAATTGGCAAATCAGATAGATTATAGACGTCTAAAAATATAAATCATTGAAAGGGAAAGAGAAAAAAGGTTGCAGTCAGCCCAAGACTTCTTCAGCCTTATCAATTAAAAAGTTCTCCCATATTATATCATCATATGATGACAATTATAAACATAATTCGGAAACAAAAATAACAGGTGTGTGAACTTCTGAAAGGGTTAGAAAAGTACATGAGGTACAGGGGAGAAGTTTGTTTCGTACTAAAGTCTAAGTCTAAGAGTCTAAGCCCATAAAATTGATATGTTAAAAACAAAACAAAGCCCCCCCCCCCCCCCCCCCCCCCCCATCTTTCCCAATACTTTTTGTTCAAACCAAAAAAAAAAGAAACAACAGATAAATATTTATATCACTATTATTTTCCAATCACAAGTACGGCTAAATAAAATAATAATAAACACTGCTACACATGAGTCTATTACTACTAGATCTAGATCTAATCTAGATCTAGATCTAGATATCTAGATCACTACAGGCTGAGTAGGCCTACTAGAAATCTAGTCTAGCTAGATTCTAGATCTAGTACTAGTATTCTAGTCTAAATCTAAATTAGAATTAGAATAAATGCAAAGCATCATTGATAGAACAATCTATCTGTCCTATAAAATTCATTGAGCGACCTAACTAGTTATACCAATAAGCGGTGAATTAGAAAAAGCAGGAATGATATATCTTTCATCATTCTCAGCATATAAACAACATACCGGACCAGCCATTGTACCAAGTCCCGGCGCCATTTTAACGCTAAAAAGTTGTTGTTGGGCAACGAATCTCGTAGAGTCTCGCGGGGTTCTTGAGTTGCCATAAGAGCTGATTGTGATACCTCTTACTTACTATATTTCGTAATGGAAATCTAGTTTTAGCTCAAATATTCCTTTTTATTATCCTTTATTTTGATTTTTTAAACTTTGACAACTCCCTTTTATACATATTTCAACGTTAAATATGGTTTTAAAATTAAACGCTTACTTAAAAACTCTTTTGTGAAAAATGTCTGGCATACGGAAGTCTTATCATTCGCCATTTAGGCAGTTCACTACATTATTATTATTATTATTATTATTATTATGATCATCACTGTAGTAATTGCAATGCAAGAAGAAAAAATGTTTTGGAGACTTTAGTATTCGAAGTTCTGTGGCGTTATGATATGATAATGTTCAACGTTTCACCCGAAGGCTTCTTCAGGAATGTGACAAATAAACAATAAACAATACCAACCCTATGGAAACAAATTATATGTTCACTTATAGCATGATTATGATACGCAATGGTGAACCATCATCATCTTCTAAACATTATCTTTAGGGAAGTAAAGGGGGGTGTGGGCATTATTATTTTTATTTATTGCTTTCTATGGGTTGGGCACTTAATCTTTCTACTTCAATCAACATTCAGTATATGAACGTCTCTTGAAGATCATACGCACGCACACACACACACACACACACACACACACACACACACACACACACACACACACACACACACACACACACACACACGTGGACACAGAGAAAGAGGATAAGAGAACATATGTGTATCTGTGTGTCTAAAGTGAGTAGATCTATGTATTTTTGGCTTGTGTCTGTGTTGGCTATATATTATAAAAGGGCTCCGTTTGCTGTGTGATTCAAAAGGATTCCCACTCCGTATTTTCTGCTTTTAGTTGGTCCTGAATAAAGAAGTTTTTTCTTTTCTTTTGTTAGTAATATTTTCCCTGGGCCAGGCCAGCGAAAACGTATTGTACTGACAAATTTATATTAATGTCCCCATCCTTTTCTTTTAAACCATTAGTGAACAATTATTATTATAGCGACTCTTTTCCAAAACAAAAGAACAAATCGTTTAGATGAAAGTGGATATTCTTAATTGACATGTCTTGTGCGGACCAGTCCGACGGATCTCCAACAAGATTATGATGGAGACTATAGGCAGACAGACTCTGGGATGGATCCTGAAGAGGGGGG